CAATTTGGGGTCAAGTAGAAAATAAGGTTCAGGAAATCTCGGGGACTGTGCTTACCTAATGAGCCGCAATTAGAGTGAAACCGGTCGTGGGCTGTCAAATGATTTTCAGCAACCATATGAGTAGTCTACCCCGTGAAGAAAATATTATAGTACCATTCACGACAAAGTATATCACGTGATTAGAGACCGGATAGGTCAATGTGCCGCACATTTACACACAAGCTGGTATACACAGTGTAACCTGGCCCCAGTAAGTTGGCCTCCTTTGATTGATGATAGTGCTGCCGCTAGGTGCTGCATTGCTATTGACTATGTTGTCTCTCGAAGGCTACTTAGATGCAGCACCATGCTTGCTAAGTCTAATTCCTTCTTAAGCGTGTGTTTTGCTCCAAAGTTTTTGTAAGCGACACCATCTGGTCTAAAAACCTTACGTGCACTTGTAAACGCTTGTACTTAAACGAGACGAAACTGGAGAAGTGCATATGTTGGCAGTACAATGTAGGTCTGCCGCAGACGCTACGTTTAGCAGAGCAAACCGTCGCGACATCACTAACCTGTTGATAAGCTGAGTTCAAGAACATGGAAGTGACTTTCTCAGTGCACAACAGAAGTTGCTTGAGAAAACCTGTCGCAATGGGAAGGAGAAAACTCCCCAACTCAGACAGGGCACATACAAAGTCGACGGCTTCGTGTAGACGGACGTTAGCAAAAACCAACTGCATATCTACAGAGCACATCTTTTCACTCTGAAGAGTAAGGACTAACTCGCCAATGAGATCCAGTCAATCTGTGAAATTGTATTGGCCAACCTTTAAATTAGGCTTCGAAATATCAACCAACGCGTCAGTTACTGTTGTATTGCGTTCGATAAGGCCAGGACTAGTCGCAACGATATACCAGGCTTATGAGTCTTCAGAGCTCAGTTATAGAATAATCACTCAGCTTCAGATGTCTGCGTGGCACATTGTCAATCCAACTGCGTTTGAAAAGCAAATCGAGGTGATGTGCTATTCGGCTTTCTACGTTGCTGGTAGGTTCTTTATTAAGTAATCTGCACTTTCGTGTCATTTAGTGTCACAAACATCTTGGATGAGTAGTCTTGCTCAACCATAAGACATCTGAACCTCTATCCGGTTTCAAGATGAGAACATTTCGCGCTCTCAGCTCAAATAAAGCCCACAGATGCTGTGTAGTTACAGCAGATTTGACAATCATATGAGTGTTGAGAAAATCGTAGGCAGGATCAGGTATCTAGTTTATGAACCAATTAGGGCTATCGGTGCTGGTAAGTCTCAGTCCTGTGGTTGGTGACAGAGACTTCCGAACCGCGCACTAATAAGTTATTCAAAAAAGGAATACGAACAGAGGGCGAGCGACAGTTACATCAGTTAAAGGATTTCCGGTCCCGTCGATTACCCCACCATCGAGAACTGGCTACTCTCCAACTCGGCAGTGTCACATTGTGTTAAGCGCTTTAAGCGTTTGGCAGATGACGGTCAACAAATATCTAAGCAAATATTTGCATCGTTTAGAGATTTTCAGGATCCTTCAGCAAAAGTAGATAATTGAGTAGGTCCATATTCGGCCAAATACAGTCACAGTAATACATAGCGCGCGAGTGGAGCTCCCAAGTAGAGGCATAGATCCCCACCTAGGTAAACCTACTCTAGAACCATCCCTCAACAGAACACAGTCTGAAAGTAAATTGACCAATGTCAACAGTTCCAAATGGGTAATAAGATATAAAGTGTTAGGAAGTTCAAGGGCACACTTCAACTAAGAGACTGATCCATGATTGCGTACTCTTCTGACCGCTGATGTGGTGTAGAACATTTTGACCGAACTTCAGCGTAGACCAGGCAACTCAATCCTGGGTTAAAGGTCAGCATATTCAGTTGCTCCAGCCTATGTGATGCCGGATTTGCCAGCCGAGTTATTCTAACAGGGATTTGGCGCCTGTCACCCTGGCACGGTCATGAGTACAACTACATGATCGACCGTCATCTTTCCTGCGGAATGTCCATCCAACTCAAACCTTTACGTATCAGTTGTCCCCAGCGATCGATGCCGTCAAATGAGTTTCAATTCCTGATAATAAAGGACGTGGTATCAACGACTTTGCTCCTGTTTTAGAATAAGAGTGAGAGATCCTTCGTTCAGACCAGTTCACCTCAGACATAAGGGCTGCCTTACAGCAACACCCACACCATTTGCTCCCTGAAGCAACTTTTCACGATTGGGTCTGTCAGCGGTCGCTGCAGAGGGATTTTACTGATGAGATTTTCACAAAATGAAACTCACCTGTTCCCTTTCTAACGTGGCTTTAGCCAAATCCGAACGCTCAATGTCACGCTCCTCTAGCAGTTGGCTGATGTGTTCTTCTTTTTCGCGGATAAGTCGCTGAGAAGGGATTAAAACAAAAACCCTCAATTCACTCAACAATGCAACAAACAACGGTCAACAAAAAAAA